TCGGGATTCCGGCTAGGAAAAAAAACTTTCGACCGTTAGAATTGTATTTCGAACGTAACTCTGTTTGCCCGCCAATTTTTCCCGTCCCCCGGCGAGCCAGGGGAAGAGTTATAGCCGTCCCAGTTCGCGGGATCACCCTGTATAAATCCGTTTCGGGATTGCGAAACGGCGGAAAGACCGGTGACACGTCCTATGTATAAAACGGCCGGCCGGGGCCGCGCGATAAAATTCTAATCAAATCAACAATTAGCGGGGAATATTTCTTACCCGTCCCTGTTGCCCGGTCGCTTTTTTTCCTTGACGGATGGGACGCTGCCGCTGGTCGCGCGCCGGGGAACGCGATTCTCGGTTTAATTGTAAATTATATTCCGCTTTATTTCCCTCGTCTAAATGCCAATCGCTTTTTTGTTTACACGCGCGTGCGCGCGCAAGAACTCGGGGCCACAATTAACGAGGAAGGGAAAACATTATTCCCGCGGAAAGGTATAATGGGAGCGCGCGAGCGCGCGCGGGCGTCGGAATGAAACGCAAATAATTCGCGGTCTATGGCCGTGTTTCGTTACATCCCGCGAAAACGATATCGCCCCTTTCAATTAGCCATTTTTAGAGCATCGTGTGTACACGCGGAATCGCTTCGAAGCAAATTAACCATCCTGTTTCGAGAAACCCTTCGGTTTTTGCTGAAGCTGTGCAGCGAGTAGAATTTCTTTCGTAATTGCGGAGTATTCGGAGACACGGCTGTATGGTATTACATTTTCTGAGAGAAAGAAAATCGTCTGACGTCGCGTTGATCTGTTATGATAGTTTGGTTTTCGATAATATTACAGTGAATGTGGATAGAGAATGATATAGGAATGCAAATTAACGATGAAGATACTAGGCGGGTTAAAATGATCCATTCCTGATTTCTTCTTTTGGAATTATTGAGAAGATAGCATATATTTCTCTGAGGAATTATTTAAGAAATTGATTTATCCATGTACAAACTGAATTGCAAATCGATTGAAGTCCGTAGATGCACCTTTAAAGTTGCTGTAGAGGAATTTTGAAAAGTCAATTATACTGCTCGGTGGGTTTAATGTTAAACTAAAGAAATGTGAATGTTCATTGATGCGAAATTGGGTAATGAAATACGACACATTTAGGCTGAGTACGAAACAAGTTCTTGCTTTGACAGGTAACATATGATTCTATAATTAATTACGACGAAGATTAATGCACGATTCTCTCTCTCTCAAACTTACATTTCGACGTTCACAGTCGAAAATCATTCTCTCCTCCGCAAATGTTCTCATTTGCACTGTCAACAAACTCTCGAACGCATTCCTTTAAAGCTGAAATGGCAACCTTGGGCTTGCGACGTTTTGCAGGCCACGTTCTCTCGACCGTTACAGCTTTCCTCTTTTATTGCCCCTCGTTCACACTCGTCCTCGCATTCTCGTTTCTTAAAAATACCGTAAACTGCGCTCAAATCTTAGACACTACATTATCAATATTAGGGATGATGACTACTTACATAAATTTCAAGAAACCCTTCGCTATTCACTGCAGTTTCATCAACTAAAATTCCCTTTGCAATTAAAAAATATTTATAGAAAAAACTGTAAGTGGAAATATCAAGTTTTTCAAGAAGAAGAGAGTCACCTAGTATTACATTAATCTGTCATAATGATTTTACCTTCCAATATTATCAATACTAGTGATGATCGCTATTACTGATGACTACTTAGATAAGTGTCAAGAAACCCTCTCCTTCCCACTGCAGTTTCGTTAACTAAACTTCGCTTTGCAATAGAAGAATAGAAACTGCTGTAAGAGTCAACATAAAATTTTTCAAGAGTCACTTATCAATCATGACTTTATTATGACTTTATTATCTTCCAATATCATCAATATTAATCCCTTGCACTCGAGAGGTGACTCTCAGTCACCACTTGATTTGATACAGCAAAACTATGAAGTTGAATATTTAGTATTGTAAATGAAACTTTGTATTGCTGTGTGAAATATTTAAATAAAATAGCTTTGTCGCTTAATTTATCTGTGAATTATCGTTAAATTAGTTTCAAACAATGTCGTCTATATCTCGTCGGAAAATGTTGAATATTTCCAGTGAAAAACTTTCGAGTGCAAAGGGTTAACCCTTCGCCTTACGATTTGTTTCGCCTTGAACATTTCTACCCATGTCACTTATTTCTATCACAATATCATGGACACAATAATCACAAAGAAAGCTCAAATATATTAGAGGTCCAGTTAAACATACTCATGAAAATGAGAAAAATATTTCAGTTCCAATACTTAATTAAATATTTAAGAGAATCAAGTTTACTACAGAGCGTACATACAGCCGGGACTCATTCCCGCTCAAGAAGTCAAGAATACCCGCAATCACCGATCACATCCAAAACACAAATTCCACTTAAATCGCGCCCTACAGAACAAGAGCCAAAAAACAAAATTCACTCTCGGCACTTACAGTATCCCCCGCAAGAACCGTTCAATGGCCCAATTACGATCGCCGGACGCTAAAGCTTCGCCGCGGAGCGGTGAAAAACCGAAGAAGCGGTTTCATCCCTGCCACCATTAATCCTAGATGTCCGCGAGGGGTTAAGGCAACAATCCTCCGGCCAGATTATCAGCGGCGGCTTGAATTCCGACGGTCCGATTAATCGTGGAAATTTGTCGTTTAAAACGTCGTCGGCCGGCGGCGGTGGCTTAATTCGTCGGGAATTAATTAGCGGAATTAAGTCGGCGTCGCGGTCGCGCGCGTCCCTCGTGGAAACGCGTCCTGCGGCTGCCGGGGGAATTTTAACGGACGTTCAACGGGGATTCCCGGGAGCTGGACGTTGGCTTCGCTCTCTTCGTCCCTGCCTCTCGCTCTGCCTCTGTCTCCCTTTCTCTGTCTAACCGATTTTCGCAAATGCTGTTTGCCGTCCCGCGTGTAGCCGTTGAAGTCGCACGTCCGCACGTACAGCCCCCTGGACACCAACGAGTCCGAGTGGCAGATCTCCCAGATCGGCCTTCAGTTTCTCGTTACGCACGATCACTTCACCGCGGGCGGCAAGCTGAAGATACGGTGCAGCGCGTCGATATACGACATCTACTGGCAGAGCACCGAGGTCAGCACCGAGGAGGACAGGCCCAGGGTGGTGCACCTGGAGCCGGCCGCTACCATCGTCGGCATCAACTACCTGCAACCACCGCCGAACTTCCAGACCGGACAGAAGAAACCCGACGGACACGTTGGGGTGAAAGGTAATCGAGCATCTATTGTATTTTCTTGGGACACGCTGAAACTTGCGGCTGGTATCGCTGCAAGCGATGGGTTTGAGTCTTCGAAAGTTTCACGATATATGTTGCACTCAAACATTGAAAGAGGCTCAAACCCATCGGTTGTCGCGATATCCGCAATGCTGCGTTTCGGTATGGGGCCTTTCAGTTTTGTGTTGGCTGATGGATTGGCGATTAATAGGATGGGTTTCGGCTTTGGAATAGAATAGGGTAGAATGGAATTGATAATATTGCGACTTAATGCATATACATCCGCAGTTTACTTGCGAGGGTTTGTTATTCGATTGAAAACTCGTTTGCTTCGTTTTGAGGCTTCTTTTGAGGAAGTTGTTTTATTATTTGGTAGCTTTGTGAATCTGAATATAGGAACGAATTATTTGAGAAGTTTCTTCTTAGTTAAATTAGGAATACTTAAACGCAAGAGGAATTGTGTTTATGTGATTACTGAGTTGTGGCCTGATTATTTGACAAGAAAATGCCAAGAACTGCTGCGTTTCACTAATTTTCGCATTTTAATAACATTTACGCGCCGCCACTAGGCGTATATGCAAAACGCAATGATACTTATGGAAAATAATGAACATGTGCACCGCGCGCAGGAAGAACATGCTACACGTGTGGATCATTGTGACCCGCTTTCGGTACTGTCGGAGCATCTGGTGTTCCAAAGTTAAGCACGTTACGCTTAAGGTCCACTTGAAATTTTATTATCAGGCAAAGTAACTATTTTATACCACAGTAAACTCCCGATTAACCGGTCCCCACTGAAGCGACCACTAGCCAGGATAAATGAGTAAAACCGAATAATACGGACTCCCGTTCGAAGCACCGCTCATAATAGCATACGTTGAATTTTTCAAACAGCGCACGTCGTTTATAACCGTTTATCAAGCACGTGCGCGAACAAAAAACAGCGATTCGAAGTTAAAAACGTAGGGCAGTCACACCGAACTGGACTCGTTTCCAATATGGACACCGGAAATCCGATTCGCGAAAGAAAACTTCTACAAAAATATGTCCAGTTGGAACGGAGTTATTGGAAATATTTTTTAAACAAATGGTTACAGTCGAAGTTAACGGGATCGCGTAACAATGGTATCAAATATTTTTCAAACAATACTTCAGAATTCTGTTTATCCAAATTCTAATAAAATCCATAGATTCCAATAACCTATTTAATACTCTGCATCGGACCATGCACATTATTCTTTCATTCTCTTTCATATTCCATTTCAACATCTAAATATTTATAAACATATTTAAAATCGATTATAAATATCAAACAACCTCCAGTATAACATCAATACTCAATAAATACCAACAGTTTCCTGAATCTTCTTCAATACTAGAACTACTGACGATATAACACAATTAACACGCAATTCTCACAAAAACTCCACCGACGGATTTATCTCAGTGGCTCCACGCATTCATTGGAGTATTCAAATGAACCAATTCGCCTTCAAACACATTTTCAATATCTAACACTGTCGAAACACCAATAATTGCGATACAACACAAATTAACCTGCCATTTTAACGGATGCGTTAGTTCCAGTGCTAAGAATCCCTTCTATATTCGGAAAGTGAACGATCAAGGCACATCGATTCGAACCGCGGTGCCCGCGGAATACTCGCCGAGGCGTGGCCCATTCACAGGACGATGTAAAAATAGAATTTCATCGAGATCCTCGAGCGTGGGCGCTGTTAACACCGAAGAAATCTATTTCCTTAAGGATTCACTGCACCTGGAGCACCGTCCGCGGACTGCATTAGCATCCAAACAGGAAATTTTAGAGTTCAGAAAATTATACCGCAGCCAGCGTGCGCCCGAGCGGGCTAACCAATTATAAACTTTCTTACGGAACTAGCCGGCGCGGAAGCGCGGCGCGACGACCGGCTCGCTGATCTTTCCCATTCCCGGACACGGTTCATATAAATTTCACGAACGCCTGTCCTGTTCCCTGGTTACGTCTCGCGGACTTATTGCGCGCGAGCGGCCGGCCGACGGGACGTTCGGCCCCACTAATTGAAATTCGCGGAGGAAAATATTGGTCGCGATCGCGGACCATTGCGCCGGGTTAATTAATTTATTCGTTCTGATCGTTCCGCGCGGCAATTCCGCGGCGTGAGAACAACGACGAATGTCGCTGGAGGAGTTTACGGTGCTCCCCGTTTTTTTCGGGAATAAACGTTCAGTTCCGGAGGAATTGTGGATCGTTTGTTCGTGCGATAAAGGCAGGCGCTGAAAGGTGAACTTTACGGGGCGGAATTTATTAAGTTTTTTTCCCGCCGTTCGACAGCGGAACGTTTGTCATCGTTGCCGATTTCTGTATTTACTTCTACGGAGAATATGAAGTTTATAACGATAGGATC